ATAATATCTTTTTGCTTATTTTCTGCTTTCTTTCTTTTAAATCTGAAATTTGATTCAGCTATTTGTTCATAAAGTAATTGTAACAACAGTGATGACTGATATCAGTGTTGGTGAACGGCTGTATATTGGTGCATCAGATGAGTTTGTGAAATGACTGTGATTGAAGCGGCAGACACATATTTGACGACAGAACGACGTGAACAAAAGATCCGATGCACACAGCTCATCAACACGTGCACACGCTTCTCAACATTACAAACACACTGACATTATATGAAAATATGATTATAAAATCATGTTAATAAAATGTCCCCATCTGTGTGATTCTTTTGGACCACATTGACTTTGATTGTACTCTAAATATCTGTTTTATGTTCCACAGAACAAAGAAAGAAAGTCATATGGGTTTGGAACGACATGAAGGTGAGTAAACAATGTTGATTTTGGGGTGAACTGTCCCTTTAAGGTGATACAGGCGTTCTCTCAATGTTCTGAGTGCAACGTTAAAAGGCTGTGAAACACCTGACCATTAATGCTTTATTTTTTCTTTTCTTTTCTTTTCTTTTCTTTTTTTTTTCTTTTCTTTTAAGAAGTTGGAAGTTGAACTCAAAAGTTTCTTTTCTTTTCTTTTCTTTTCTAAATGTATAAATATTTATCAGTGTGATTATACTTAAATTTAAGGCTGTTTTTAAGCTGTTGTTTTTATTATGCTTATTATTAATACAAATATTAAACTAAATAAGAAACATTACAGTAATAATATTTCATATGTTTCATATTTTTAGTAATAATATTCATAATAAAACAACTTGCATAACTACTGTAATATTTCACTGTAAAATATTAATATTTAAGAAAAATATAATAATAATAGTTTTATTTTACAGTGCAACTATGAAATTACAGTACTAATATTTGTCTGTCTTAAATTCTTTATTTTCAAACGTTCAGCCAACAAAATTTTATTTTGATGAAAAACCAGAGGAAACCCTAGCTGTAAAACACCTGACCATTAATATTTATTTGATTTTATTATGTTTTTATTCATAAATTTGATTATACTTACAAATTTAAGGCAGTTTTAAGTTGTTTTATTATGATTATTATTAATAAAAATAGTAAACAAACCAAGAAACATTACAGTAGTAATATTTCTTATTATGATACATTTCTTTAGTGATAATAGTCATATATAGATAGATAGATAGCTACATACATAGACAGACAGACAGACAGACAGACAGATAGATAGAATGACAGACAGATAGACAGAGGGACGGATGGATGGATGGATGGATAGAACAATAGATAGACAGACAGACAGACAGACAGATAGATAGATAGATAGATAGGTAGAT